TATTATTATTATTATTATTAGCCACCATTGCAAAGTATGGAAACCCATTTCTGCCAATGTGACGGAAAAAAAGGATTCTTTATCAAAATATTGACTTTATGATATGAAGTCATTATTTCTGATTCTTAGAGCCTGGAGCACTTTTATCTTTATCCTTTATCATGTTTGTATCATTGAGAGAAATCAGGATAATTATTCCATTATCGAGTAAACTGAATAAGTGATTTTATGGATTTTTCATATTATATTCATTAACAATAACAGTAAAGAACAGCTGAGGAACTGAATAATGAACGAAAATCTTTGTTTTCCTGATATTTTTAAGGAACCTTTAATATAATTCTGTCTGTTTTCTGTTTTTTAACAATCATACAGACTTAATATTCTTCTTTTCTGACAGATTCAGTGTTTTCTTCTCATTGTCCTTTGAGCTCTTTGGTTGTTTTTTGATGCAGGATGAGGCTGTTGATCAGAGACGAAGCTCCGTGAATAAACTCTCTTCACAGTTTAGATCTTAATAATATTATTTTTCATCACAGAAATGAACACAGTGCTGAGATTTAGACCTACTGTGTATATTTTTAACGTTTTGTTACTCCCCTTAAAATCAAGAAGGCCTTGCGACCCAACGTGAATCTTTGGCGACCCCTAGTAGGCGTCCTGACCAAAGAGCTAATCGAACAACGAGAAGAAACGTACTGAAAGTCTTGGAAACTTCGTCTCTACATCTCCAGGTTGTCCAGCACTGTGGGAACCCTGCAGGGTCGTCAGGTTCCTCACTGATACAAACTGCTCTGAGATGGTTGCTGTTTTTACATTTTTGTACGGAGGAATATTTTATCGGAAACCAAATCTACCTGTGGGTACAAATAAAGTGATCTAACCTATTAACTGGAAAATAATAATACAGATATCATCATTAATAAATGCTTCTGTTGGCTCACCACCCAGTGAAAGTCTTTCTGAAGCAGAGAATCTTACCACAGCTGCATGTTGGCGTTCAGTTTATTCCTCAGCGGAGTCACCACTGCAACAACAAGAGACATAAGCTACTAATAAAAGTCACATTCAGGCAGCTGCACATCCACTGTTATTGTACATAAGCCCTCAGAAATTAGACCGTCTTAAAAACACACTCTGCATACCCTCAAACGCCGCCTGTTATTTGACAACAGCCCGGCCCGCTGCAGACGGCGGCGGCAGCGCTGTCAGATATGAGCCATCATTGCTTCCTCTGTTCCACAGGGGAGCTTTGTCTCCGTGCAGCGCTCTCACTATTTGTTATTCCTACATGCAAAAAGCAATATTTCTGTGCGACCCCTCGTATTTGAGGGTTGCCGCCCGCCTCCCGTCTGGGCGGCTGAAGTGTGCGTGTGTTTAATATCTTTTGAGTTGCATTGCTAGGCAACAGGCTAGGAGTCGCATGACCTTGGGTTTACAGAAACAATGGCCGACGACTGATAGGAACTTAAATAGAAAGCCGAAGCCTGAGGCTCGCCGGCTGGCCCCCCGGCGTTGGCACGGTGAGAATGAAAACGTGCCATTCTGGAAGCGAGTCCTCTGACACGGCGACAGACAACAGTCAACACAGGCTGAAGTGGAGACGTGGAGATTCATCCGCGCCTGACGGCTCCTCGCCGGTCTGATCTGAATAATGGCGGGCGCAGGCGGGGTTTGTCCTTTATTGCCTGCGCTGATCCTCAGCTGACTGCAGGGACACCGACCTCATGAAGAGTCAGGGAGGAAACCATTCATTGGTTCACTCATTTGTCTGTTTTATTGATGGATTCCTGACAAACATCTGCATGTTGGAGCTGCTCAAATGTGCTGCTTCTCACTTTTCTCCTTTTAAAAAGAGAAACAGTTTGTGCACTGGGAAATGTTCCAGCAAAAAGACTTGTGCTGCTCTTGGATCAAACTGAAAGGTCCAGTGTTTAACACTGAGGAGGATCTGTTGTCAGAAATATAATAGAATATTCATAGGTATGTTTTAATCACCTGAATGTATGAGTCATTGTGTTTGTTAATTTACAATGAGACGTTTTTATGAAGAAATGCAGCGGGTGCAACGGTGGCCCAGAAAGGACAAACACTGGCTCTAAAGATAGTGGCGTTCGTTCAATCACTGCTACGTGCGTTTATTTCTTAGTATTATTATAAAAAAAACCCTTAATGAATGAAATCAATAATATAAAATATAATAATGTCATTTTCAGTGTTAATTAAGACAGAAAATGGGCCACATTTTTAAATTCGAGTGTTAGACTTCTGGAAATCAGACTAAATTCTAACGTGTCACATGCAGGTTAATAAAGCAATTAGCATGTAATCTATTTTTGGGGCTGTTCCCTAATAGTCGACTTAACCGTAAGTTGAGTTAAGAGTCTCAGTCGACGCACCGAGGCGAGAGAATACAGAGTGTGAGCTTCAGGTGTGCATTAGTGCGGCTCCACTTCCTGCTGTGTCTCTGGGGTCCTACCCACCGTGCTCGGCTCCCAGCAGGCAGCACTCCGGCAGCATCTTGGGGTGTCTGGGATCCACCTGCACTTTGATGGACACGTTGTTCCCTGCACACACACACACACACACACACACACACACAGGACTGAAGTTAGCTGTGTTACCGTACGGGCTGATTACGTATGAACCGCCGGACCTTCGTGTGTACGGTACCGATGGCGATACGCCTCGTGGTGTCGGAGCGGCTGGGTTTTTCTGGCTCCAGAATCCAGGTCCTGCTGTCGATCTCGTCCAGGACGTCCCAGAACTCTGTCAGGGACTCCAGCAGCAGCAGGAACTGGCTGTGGAGCTGGTCCAGAGTGCTCTACGAAGTGAGATGTAAAGACAGTGCAGTACAATGACAGTGTCTTCCCCTGCTCAGAATAAATAGGTATGTTTTTACAAAATATTGGTTTAAATTTGAGCCAAACTTTATACTTTATTATAATGTGAGATTAGAAGGCAGAGAGAAGTGAAATACTGAAGGAATCTGGATTCACGTACAGTGAACTCACAGCGAGGTACAGCTGAAACAGTAAGTCGACTCATTGACGGACAGAAAGTTCATCTGATTTATAATAATTGGTAAATAGTTGAAGTACAGATTACAATACTTTAATAGCACACAGATACCAGTTCTCAATGAGCCGCCATTGTTTCCTGCTTTTACTGCGCAGCCAATGAGAGCAGCTCAACGTCACCTCCGCCGGCTCCAACAAACCGCCATGGAGACCATAACGCCAAACTGGAGGCTTCAAAACGGCTCTCCACAAACCGACGTGTGACGACAGGGTCGCAGTTGCTCCCAGCATGGGAACATTATTATTGTTATTAGTTTATGATGAGATGGAAATATCACACTGAGACGCTGTAAATCTGAGTGTTTCATCTCATTTGAGGCAACTGGAGTGAACTGAGAGTGCAGACAGCAATTGACCAGTTGGTAAAAACTAAACTGTAACAACTTAAAAGGCACACACAGACACACACACACGTACAGTAGAGAAGAGAAAGGGAGGCTGATAGAGGTGTCGGAGAGCAATACAGATGGAATGAGAGGGAAAAAATTAGGGGAAAAAATGAACCAAAAATTATGGGTCATTGTGCCAGCACAGTGCACACAATTAAGCATCGTCCAGGTGCTGAGAGCCTCGGCAATTACAGCCCAATTAATGCCAGTGGCATGATTACGGTTACAGCTCAGGATAACTACGCTAGGCCCAGTTCAGAAAGAAGAAAGAAAGAAAAAAAGAAATGAAGAGCTGGTAATTGAATTCCTGCTGTATCTGTGAGGAGAACATGAGTGAGAGCGGACGGCTGGAAGAAAGCATGAAAGAGACTGAATCTGAGCTGAGATATTATCTATTTATGCTATCTCTGACTGACCTCAATTTAGCTCTTTAAAAGCAGCCGGGCTGGAAGAATTCACTCCTCTTTACATGGACGCTATTAAACTTTACTGGTTTTAAGCTTTTCTCTCTCTTTCTCTCCTGATGAATTATTTGTTCATTATTGTAAAATCTCAGACTTTTATCCTATGTATGTTTTTAAAATCTCTTAATCTGCCGTTTTATGATGGGAAACATGGTTGTCTCATCTGTCTATGTGTTAAGAGCGACGAGACTAACGTTAGCGCAGCGTGGCTCGCCAACAACACTGACAGGATGTACAGTGCATCATCAGATCTTCTATAAGAAGGAAGGAAAGTTGGACTAAAGTCTGTCCATTTGTAAGATCTATTGGACAGCGATTCAGTCCAGCGGTAGCACGACAGATGTGAACACGGCACGGTGACACCTGTGCAGGCGACGAGTCGTCTGTGGATGCAGGATGACGTCGAAGGTCATCACTTCAGTCTGTCTGTGACTGTAATAAGTAATAAACACAAAGACGTAAATCTGAAATGAGACATTTGTCTTCCAGTTTTTTTCCCATAAAGAAAAAAATACTTGAGCTTCGCTGGTATTTTATACAATATATGTATTTGAAGGTAAACAATGTAACTTCTATACAATTGGCTTACGATCATTTAGAATGTAAAATAAATGTCTACATTAAACAAATGTTAAGAACTCAATCGTATCGTATTGTTCCGTATTAAAATGTCCCTGAAGTATCCGGTTAGTATCAGATCGTCTTAGAAGAGAGAGATTTACACCCCTAGTATTTTATTGTATGAAGTATACAATAAAGAGCAAACCAACCTTTTTACTTAAGGGACCTTTTTTCTATCAGTCGGTAAACTGACTCAGTGACATATTTTATGGATATTTATATTATTTATTTAACAGTTTTAAATCATACAGACTTGATAAACGTCTTTTTTTGACAATTTCAGTGTTTTTTTCTTACACACCTTTAAACCAAGAAGGCCTTATGACCCGCCATGAAGCTTTGGCGACCCCTAGTGGGGGCCCCAACCCCCAAGTTGGAATCCACTGATTTATTCAATGTATGTTTTCTTAATAAAGTTATAAAATAAATTAAAAATATGCTAAGTTAGTACTTAAAAACAGCTGCTGCAACTGTCCACACTCACTTTCACATTTTTATTTGCACTGAATTTCAGACTCTCTTAATTCATGCAGGTTTTGGTTGTTAAAATTCACCTTTGTGTATTCTGCAAGCACACACACACACACACACACATACACACAGGTTTTATTTCTCTTCCCATTCTTGTTCCACACAAATGCACAGAGTGGCATGTCTTGGCCCTGCAACAGAGCAGGCAATAATTACTCATTCAAATGAACATGTCAGGACTGCCGACAGACAGGCCCTTCCCCCCGCCACACACACACAACACAAAACACACACACAAAAACACACACTTGGCACAGATGCAAGCACATACACAAACGTATACACACACTTCATGTTGCAGCGGAGGAGAGATCCATCAACGGCCCAGCAGGCAGACAGGCTCCATACGGTAGCGCTGTTCTAAGCTGGTCCTCACTGTACGCCTGCCATGTATCAACTCAACACCACACACACACACACACACAGCAGT